AACTCCACTGTAAGTGATGGACGTTTCAGAAACAAATCTATTCAGGATCTTTTAGAAACATTTATAAATGTAAACAATCTGAGGCCAAACTTAAGGGCATGGAGGTTTTAGAAAGGGAATGGTGACAAATGACATTAAAGCTTAAGTAGATGTGATTAGGAAGATATCCGGTGCAAAGCTAAACAGGTTAAAGTTAACAGGATAACCTCAAAGAGCATTTCTGAGAATAGAGCAGGACAAATGAGTGCAGAAGCTGAAGGCTGATAGGCTCCTCCCCAATCATAGCAGGGGTAGCAGTTACCTACTTACCTCAGTGGTTACACATGCAATACAACCAGGCTTGACTCTCTATTTCACAGCCGACTGTCTTCTGGAGAACGAAACCCGTCCGGCGCCAGAAACGTCCAGTGAAGACAAGACTGGAGATATAAACAATCCCAGAGACTCTGGTTGCCTCATGGCAGAGGATAGCGAACCTCACTCTCTCTCTGAATACGCTGCACCGTCAGAAATAAAAGTATCTTGAAGAGGTTCTTTTGCTAATAATCATAACGCTGGAGAATTTAAAGCAATTTTTATGTGTGAGATCTTTCACATGATCTGTAAAATGATTTATCTGTAATTATGATTTAATGAATAAAAGTTGTCCTCCCTGAAATCAGCTCTTCTGTAGTGATTTTTTGAGTTAAGCAGACTTTTATCTGCTATTTTCTGCCGATGGTTCTCTCTGAAATATTCAGTATTAAAGGCAAACAGTATAACAGGCATGTGTTTAGCTTGCCCAGACAAAATAGAAATCTAATATGAAAGAATACCAAATCAACCACAAACAACAGGTGTTTTTTTTATTGTTTTTCTAGTAATTTAGTTTTTTATACACTTAGTGTATACAAAGTGACAATAAAGTTTCCCATAGCACCGCTTTTCACTAGAGTCTGACAATCCAGTTTGGTGATGTGAGGAGGAGGTTTGATATTAAATAAAAGTTTTGGATTGAATCTCAATTTGAATGGAGAGAAAACCAACATGTTTGGGGGTAAAAAACTGCTGTGTGAAACAAAAGAATCATACTATCCACTATTATCTTTGTTCCGAGAAGCCAAGGTCCCCAAAGAACTTAATGATTTTAGACCCGTCGCCCTGACCTCTGTGGTTATTCAATTCAATTCAGTGTATTTATATAGCACCATTCACAATACATGCCATGGTTATGAAATCCTTTGAGCACCTTCTGCTTTCACACCTAAAACAGATCACTGACCCCTTCCTAGACCCCTTACAGTTTGCCTACAGACCCAACAGGTTTGCAGACGACACTGTCACTACATCCTCCAGCACCTGGATTCTGCAGGTACCTACACCAGGATCTTGTTTGTGGATTTCAGCTCTGCCTTCAATGCAATCATCCCAAGTCTGCTTCAGGAGAAGCTCTCCCAGCTGAGTGTGCCTTACTCCACCTGCAGGTGCATTACAGACTTCCTTTCTGACAGGAAGCAATGTGTGAAGCTGGAAAAACATGTCTCCGACTCACAGCTTTCTCCTCTGCTCTTCTCCCTGTACACCAACAGCTGCATCTCCAGTAATCAGTCTGTCAAGCTTCTGAAATTTGTGGACAACACCACTCTCATTGGACTAATCTCTGATGAAGACAAGTCTGCCTACAGGTGAGAGGTTGACCATCTGGTGACCTGGTGCAGGGAAAACAATCTGGAGCTCAATGCTCTAAAAACAGTGGAGATGTTTGTGGACTTCAGGAAGAGCCCAGTCCCAGCTACTGTATCCCCATCATCTTCTGTGACTCAACATTTGACACCGTGGAGTCTTTCCACTTCCTGGGATCTATCATCTCATAGGTGACGTACTGGTTGAGCGTAGTGAGTGTGGAAGGGAGGGAGGCTCGATTGAAGTCTCTGGTGAGCACAAGAGCATGAGGGTGCTTTGTCTGCAGCCTGGATCCGCTCGCAAGCAGCAATGAGGTCTGTAGAGAGGGGGATGTGTACACAAAGTACGATCACGTTCCCAAACTCTTGTGGAAGATGGTACAGTCACTCACTGTGAGTAGCTACACCTCCAGGGAGCATATTAGTTCCTTCACATGGACATGAGCAGCATTACACCATCTCTCACTCACAAACATCGCCAGCTCCCCTCTTTTTTTTACTCTCTGCCAAATTCCTTTCCGTGCGGATGAGTTTAAAGCTGTCCAGGAAAACCACTAAGACAGGACAAATCCATCTAACCACGTCTTAGTGAAGCACATGATACTAGTGTCCCTGTACCTTCTCTGAAAACAGGTTAATGCTGCAAGCTCCTCAGTCTTGTTGCGGAGAGATCTTACCCATGAGAACCAATGGTAAATAACTTTTCCTCCGCTTCATCCTCCCACCCCTGCAGCCTCTCTGTTTTCTCCTTATTTCTGCAGGGATTTGTAATCTCACAACATGGTGGGGAACAGGGCTGCTGTACATAGAGTCATGTAGTCCAAGGAGCTGGTCGCTTGTGTAAACAATATGGCATTCGGAGTCGTGGACAATGGGGTCCCACATTGTAGCATCAATATTGCCGAAAGTAGGAGAAAGCTCAGCACTACAGTCCCAAGTTGGCTTACTCTGTGTGCATACATTCAGAATATCAGATGCGGTATTCACTAATAGAAAAACATTCCAAAAAACACAAAAAATAGAGAGCACGGAGCCAAAGTAACAGGCTGCTGCATGCGCAGCACCATCTTTGACTTGCAAATATGTTGCAACTTACTGTAGTTAACAAAACTTCTATTAGATTTCAAGTCAGGTTATTTATGTAAGTCTGATTCAAAACAGCCTTATAGAGACAACTTAATCAACCATCCAGTTAGATTAGTTAAAATGCTATTTATAAGCAAAACTGATTACATCCAGTCATTGACTTTGAAGGATTTGGAGGCTCTATTGTGTCGTTGACTCTACAGCAATCTCTCACAAACAGTTTAGCGGACGAGATCTGAGCCAGTTTTAATGCCAAAAGGGATGAGAGAGAGCAAGACCCAACAGGCCCAACTATATCATCTACAAACAAAGGTGTTAATGGCAGCAACACAGCTGATATTTCTCTCCAGGATAGAGTCAAATAGGAACCGACCAGATTAAGCTACTATGATGAGAAAAAGTAGAGAGAGCATAACGTTAGAGATGGAACTAAGAGATACTGCAAAATGGGAGAAAGGAATAGAAAGAAGAAGAATGATGCAAAGGGTCTCTATGTCCTACAGCAGCCTAAGCCTATAGCAGCATAACTATAGAGGAAATTCTAGATATCTGTTTGGTGCGGGATGACAAGTCCTAATCAATAATAACACCAAGATTTTTCATGTTATTAATTTAGATCATTTTAATGAAAATTTGAACTAGCTGCACCTGCTAACAGACACAAATAGAACCATAGAAAGCAATAAAGTCCAAAATAAAGCATATTTTCTTCAGAACTTTTTCAAAAAAGACAAGCTGTCCATTTATAAGAAAAGGTAAATTTTATTAAGTATTAACTGAGGCTAAATTAGTTGCAGGAAGAGGAAATCAATATCGCTATGTAACGCTACAAAGATCATATTATTATTAAGTTTTAAAAGGCATCATGTGAAAGTCACAACAGCTAAAATAACTTTATGTACAAATAGAACAATGGTGACATGAGAGAAGAGGCAGAATATTATCAAGATCCTTAAAAAAGCCCCCAAAGCATCTTAAGCAAAAAAAATGCAGAAAAATAGAATTTTTACATATTCCTTAGCCAACATATCAATAGATGTCACAGATGAGAAATCAAATCAAACAATCCAAGCAGTTAAAAACATTTAAAATCTTCTGAGAGGGAAAAAAAACATAAAGGTTATATTTACATCAGTTAATCACACAAAGATGTCCAGCTAAGTTTGAATTAAAGAGAAATCTGAATGTGGAAAACCAGAACAACCAATAGTACAGCTTTACCACAGCCGTTTACACCAAGATTACTTTTATTAGTAGGAGTAAGCAAATCTTTTTAGCTTTCATGTGTTTAAGCTACTCTTTTATTAAAGGAGAAACAAAAGAAAATAGAAATTTATTTCCATTTTGCTGGTGAAGATTCTCACTCATCCAGTCGTTTCTTTCTTATTTGAAAACATTTTGCCTCCCATCCAGGAAGCTTTTTCAATTTAAAATGTCAGAATTAGCTTTGGGTTTGACAGTTTATAGAGTGGACCAAAAACAAAGCCGTGTTTTGGCTTAGAAAACATGCAAATTGAACCAGAAGAAATGCTCTGCCCTTTAGGAATGGGCAGCCGTTTGGGTTCTTTGTTAGCCTGCAATACCCAAACTGGCCTACTCCTCTAAAAGGGGGGTCGTTAGGGGAATTGTTGGCCTGGCTGTACAGGAAAGATGTTTTGGTCCACTGTATGGGGGCGAGGGTTGCAATGATAGCGGGAAGGAATCAACTCTATCACTGCATTGCAGGTTTTTGAGAGCTGAAACCTCCACCTCTCTGTTAAAGGTCTTATTTTCTTTCTTAACATAAATGGTTTTCTTCACACCCCTTTCAAACCACCTGTCTTCTTTGTCCAAAATATGAACATTCTGTCAGGTTTCTGTTATTTATTACTTTTGAGTATCCAGTTTTGCTTTGCTCCTAGTTTTCTAGTTTTAGTGGATTAAGTCTTAGTTTATTGAGTTCCTTGGTTTTTTCTCAGTAACTGTCTTAGTCTTGGTTCTGTTATATTTTCTTTTTAGTGTTCAGTCTTGCTTTACTCCTTGTTTTCTAGTGTTAGTGGTTTTATTTTTATTTTGCTGATTTCTTAGTTTTTTTTCCCAGTTACTGTCCTAGTCTGGGTTCTGTTATGTTTTCTTTTGAGTGTTTAGTTTTCTTTTCTCCATGTTTTATAGTCCTAGTAGTTTAATTATTATTTTGTTGTTATTTCCAGTCTTCTAGGTTTCTATTTGTTGCCCTCTGCTGCCCTCTTATGTTCTCCTTCTTCCCTAGCACTTTCCCTCTCTTGTTCTGTGCACACCTGCTCCCAGTTTCCTTATTAGCCCTCTCTTTGTCTCAGTCTCCTTTAAAAGCCCCCTCTCTTCAGTTCCTCTTTGCTGGGTCCTCGTCAAACACCGTCTAACCTCGTCAATCTTCCTCCAACTTGTCTCTCTGAGCCTTCCTCGTGATTACAGTAATTCCTCTGATGTCTCCATTGTTTCTGGTTTGTTTTACTTATTTTCATGTTTTGAACTTTTTCATTTTTTGGACTCCTGGTTTCTTGTTTGTTTTGGACTTTGATTACATTTAGATTTTTTTGATAACCTGCCTCTGTTTCCGGTAACTCATTATTAAATCTACTATAAATTCACCTCTACCTTCTGCTTTTGGGTCCACTATCCACAAACAAATCCTAACACATTCTGGTCCTCAAAAGAATGTCCTTTGTCCATAAGGTCTAGATGTACCGCCGAGTCTTTTCCCGAACAAGGCTTGGTTTTTGGGCCGTTCTATAAAAGCTTTGAACTCAAAGCTAATTCTGACATTTCGAATTGAAAAAGCTTCCTGGATGGGAAGCGAAACGTCTTCAAATTTGGAAACAAAGTCCAGTGGATTGTTTTTTACTTTTTGGAATGCATTTCCATTTTCATTTCTTCATCTCATTTTTGAACCAGTCTCTTAGTTAATGAAGGATACCAGCCAGCTGTTCAAACTTAAGGCTAACACTGTTGCCCTAATGACTAATGTTTTTATTTTAGTTTTTGCAGGTTTGTTGAAAACGTCAGGAAAATGATTTACAATAAAACACATCAAAAAGTTATTTATTTGACCAAAACAGCCTTTTTATAATAATATTCAAGTTAATAAACAGGCTATACAGGGAAACATTTATCCGCATTTCGGCTAGAAGCAGCACCTTCCATCAGTGCCGCTAACAAGAGACCTTTTTAGTCTGAATAATAATCAGTGTTTTTTTTACTGCATCAGACAGAATATATTTTATATCAGTTTGTGTTGTTCAGCAGTTGAGGCGTCCATGAGAGCTTCTGACATGACCGTTCTCAGGAAACAGAGACAGCTCCTCAGTGCTGCCCAGCCCATTGTTCAACTCTGAAAGGCAAAAAACAATATGATACTGAGATTGATCTGTAAAGTTTAGCTGCTATAACTATGTGCAGCATTGGCAGTCACCTAATTTATTGCTCCAAGGTTTCCTAATGCTTCAATCATACATCATAGGGGAAACAGTTTAGATGTCAAAACTTCACAAAACTAATTTTATAAAAGTAACATCACACTATACCATTCACTTAAAAGCTTATCCAGAAACATAAAAACAGTGGAATGACAGCTGTTAAATGTTTTATGTATGATTGCAATCTGAGCTGCACCTGAAAAAATGAGTTTCTCTTTCATGATGTTGACGTCTCGACTTGGTCGTCGCACCACAGCGCTCAACATGATCTGTTCTGGATTGTAGTTCTGCATCCCGCCTATTCTCCACCTGTCAGAAAAAAAACACATTCAAACCATTATAATGACACTGGAAAGAATGAGCAAACTACTCTATATAAAAAAGTAACATGACATGTTAAATAGGTGACACAATCAGTGAACATCAGGTAAAGGAGAAGTGTGGACAAACGGGGGGTCAGCCATGGGGTGTGAGGGATGAAAAGCACAAGAAGGAGAGCTGGAAATGAAGGCTGAGGGAGATGCTGCAGTTACCTGATCATATGATAGCTGACAGATGCCAGGAAGCAGCAGAGGAGGGTTGAATGCAGTTCAGACAGAATGCAGGACAAAGAAAGAGAGTCAGAGGAGAAGAAGACAGGATGACAGTGAGAGGTTTCAGCACAGAGGACAAACAGAAATACACAGATGACCAAAATTTAAAAGAATGACAGCTTGTGGATCTTTAAACATAGATCATTCCCACATCTTTAGGAAATGTAAAAAAAATACAATTATCAGTGCAGAACTGCAACAGTTATTTGGCTACAGAATATTATGTAATGTAAATCCCTTTATTCTCCCACGATGGGGGAATTAACTCTAAGCATTTAACCCATCCCTTTGGGGAGCAATGGGCTGCCATTGTGCAGCACCTGGGGAGCAGGGTGGGTTTAAGGGTCTTGCCCAGGGACCCAAAGTGGAGGCTGTAGGGATCGAAACGGTACTTGCAACCTTTTCAGAGCACAAGTTCACTGCTCTAACCACTAGGCCAACACTCCCCAAATAGATACTGAGTGTCTGTTTGCAGCCACGCTTCGGATAATATCAACCCAATAAATAGTCATTATCAGCGGTTAGACGAAGGAGATCATCGTCTACTACAGGAAGAACCGGCCTAACCACACTCCACTGCTAATCAACAGCTCAGCTGTAGAAGTTGTCAGCAGCACCAAATTCCTGGGGTTGCACATCACAGACAACCTCACCAGGGAGCAGTCTGTGGTGAATGGTCTTCCTCAGGAACCCAAAGTGGCAGTCTGTGGGAGTGTGTGGGACTTGAACATAGAACATCCAAGGTCCAAGCGATATGCTCTAACCACTAGGTCATCACTCCATTTATAAATGATACTGCCTCACAGGAAATAAGGTAGAAGAATGAAGAGAGAAGCAGAATGTACACAATAAACAAAAGGGAAAAGAGGCCAAACTGTAAAATCTATAAACAATTAAATAGTCCCTGACATACAATCTAAATCACTCTAAAGGTCCATTCACAACAAAATCAGCAACTTCATGTGATTCACCTGTTGTTGGACATTTCTCCTTTCAGACAAACTACATATAGCGCAGTGAAATTCTGTGCTCCGTGGCAGAGATGGGTGACTGGAGCCATCAAGTCATCTCTATGTCATGTATTTGTTCTGTCCAGCTAAACTGAACCAGGTGAGTCCAATCTGGTTTAACTTGTACAGATTGGACTCACCTGGTTCAGTGGCTGAGCAGAACAAATGAGATGACTAGTTGACTGAGGATCCCCCATCTCTGCACCATGGCTCTTTTGAGAGCGAGTAACAGCGCTGATCAGTTTCTGAATGAAAAATGTCAAATCCAGCAGCAATCACAACCACATCCAGTCCCTGACCGGTAAACGCAACACAAAGATACTCTAATATCTTTCAACTTCTACAAAATGTTGCTTCCCTCTCTCTGTGTTTCCACATCGCCTACAGCTTTATCCTGATTGCCAATAACCCAACCCACTCCTTTATGCATGTTTAAATGGCTATTACTTGAAAATGACTTGCTCTTGTCACTGCCTGCGCACCATTAAGATGTGTAAACTCTAGATTGGCATTCACATGCGCACATACCAGTTTATAGCCTCTCCTGCACATTGCAGTTTGGAAACGCAACTGGTGTGTCATACATACCCAAACTAGTCTTGACGGGACCTAAACTTCTTCTCCATCTCCTTGCGGCTTAGACCAACTTTTCAACAACACAAGGGCTTTATATTTAATGTGGAACTGTTTATATGTAATTGTTTAATTGCATCATTTTAAACCATATTTACTTTAATGAAGAATTTTTTGGCCCAAAAGAAGTTTCCCCATGGGTATAGAATAAAGCATATTGAATTGAGCTGAACTGAACTGAATCAGTCTTTCGGGTAGTAGGTAGAGTTACTTACTTCTGGAAAAAGAAAATTCCCATGATGACAGCAACAGAGACAATGTCTGAAGAGATCCAGATGAAGTTGTAAGCACTGTGACTCTGTGAGAGAAGGAAAGAAAAAGTAGTTTCCTGCTATATCCACTGGATGTCACATATGTTACTCTAAGCTATAACAGGCAGTGAGGAACACAAAATAGTTCAAGACAGCGTCATCACATCAGATCTGTTCTTGGCCCTTTTCCCAGGACTGGACAAAAGGTCTGGCCTTACTGGGCCATCTCCAGTCTCTATCCTCTCCCCCTCTGTCCTCATGTCTCTCTATGGGACCTTCATTGCTAGTTTGTTTATGTGTGTGAGAACTACCAGATGACAGAAATGTTTACCATGAGCCAGACGGGGTAAGGCACTTTGTGAAGAACTTGAGGGGCATCGGAGGATACGGAAGGCACCCCGCTACACCACAGAATGGAGTACAGCCAAGGCTCATTCACAGGGTAGACAGTCACGCTCACATTGTGTGCCAGATATTCCCTGACAGGAGGGGGAAGCAAAAGTACATGTCAGCAGAGAAAAAGAGGCCCCTAGTTTCTCTTCACAGTCCTGTGCCCTGTGGTGTCACTCTGCAGCCAGTGAAAAGTTCAACTTTCTTAAGAAACCAAGCATCAGTTGGCCTTTGGAAATATGTTCACGTAGATAATTTAATATAAGACATGTTTCCATACAGAATAGACCCTATCCTTGGGAAAAAAATTATTTTAGGTCACCATAGAGATGAGTCTTATTGTCTTTCTTTTTTGAGGACACAGATGTTAGTGTTTTATATAATTTAATCATGAAATCATAATACTAATCAGATAGTTTAAAACAAACAAACTACAATCAGCCTTCTTTCTTTGGGGCATTTTTAGGGCTGGACCATATAATCAAACGTTATGTCAAAATATATTTCAAAATTTCTATTTATAAAATGGTATTCTGATATAAACTATAAAGAAAGTTTATCTTTCCATTTAGGATCCATGCTGTATTTTTGATTAAGTTGAAATCAATTGGACATTATTTACTGGATTGCTTTTATGTCTTTTAATTTTTAAATGAAAAATAAAAAACATCACTTGGTTAATAGCAAAATAAATAAAATCAGAGGATGTTTATGTTTAAAAGCTAAACTAATGACAGCTAAACTATCACAAGTTAAGCTAAAAATAAGCTCCCTTTTATCTTCCTCATATTGAATCTGAGCCTTTTATCGGTTGCTAAGCAATAGCTGGCTGTGCTTACTGAATGTCTTCGTAGCTGATCTTTCTATAGTGGAGGGTCACACTTGTAATTCCCCTGTGCCTTATCTCTTCCACAGACAGCTTCTCGTTTGTGGTTTGGTGAAGGGCTCGCACCCGTCCTCTGTCTGTGTCAGGGGCCCATGTCACCTGTTTTAAAAAAAAAAGAAAAGTATAAAGATCCTGACCAAACAGTTACAGGCAGAGAGTGATCATTTCTGCTATGAGTTAAGGTTCATATTTTATAGCTAATGCATTATTACACATGAAACTCCTCAGTGCCAGAGTCAATAATTCACCAAATAGTTGTAAAAAAAAATCACAAAACAGGACTTAATACTTTTTAAAGTTTAACATTTATTCCATTAAAAATATAATCAGAAATCTATGTAAAGAAAAAAATCAGAATTTCATCAACAAAGGTTATTGCTGAGTTTCTTTACAAGTGAAGAATGTTTGATTTTAAACGTGATGTCACTTTTAAATTACACTAATTTCAGGTTGCTGGTGAAGGTTCTCAGTCATCCGGGTCATAGTCATTCCAAAAAAATAAAAACAAAAACAATCAAGTCAAGTGAATTGTTTTTATTTTTTTGGAATAATTTCAGGTTACTTGTGTGACCCTGGTTCTCAGAGTATGGTACTCTATGCTACTATTGGCCCAATTATATCTGAAACCATTGGGCCTACACATTCGCTCTCACAATCCAGTAAGAGGAGCTGCTTTGCAATGGGCTTTCCCCCATGAGGATTTGGACAGGATAAAATTGCTTTTTTTGTTTTTTTTTTTAAAGGTGCTAGTTCTGTACAAGTAGGCACCCAAAGCCCAAACTTGACAAAGTTTGTTCAGTGGCCCTTCCAGGCAGTGGGGAGAAGGCTCTGATAGTAATGATCCGAAAACCTTCAGCACGAAAACTGGGTTGAGCTGCAGTAAGAGGCTCACATCCCCAGCACCAAACCTGATGCATGATGAGTTCACTAAGAGAGTGAGTATTGCTAACACATTTAGCAGATTCTAAATATCTGTTTATTTTTCTATGTCTGCTTCTGTCTCCTTGAACCCCAGTCAGTCTCAGCAGATGGCCGCTCAAACTAAGCCTGGGTCTGGCTCTGATGGAGGTTTGTTCCTGTTCAAAGGGAGTTTTTCCTCTCCACTGTCACTACAAGCATTATTGGTGTGAGGGACTGCTGAAGATTCAACCACAAAATACAAGCGAAAATCGTCACTTGAAGCCCATCCTGCAGGAGCATCTCTTACAAGTCAATGACTGGATGCAATCAACTGGTTTTCTTAAACAAACTGACTATATTGTCTCTGTAAAGTGTCCGGTGATGAGATAGCTTGTAAATTGGCACTATTTAAATAAAGTGAATAGAAAACTGAGTTAAAGCCAACAATAATACTTTGATGAGGTGTAAACATTTGAAAACAACGTCCTCTAAAGGTATCTGTGAAGATTCTCAGCTATCCAGGTCACGTTCAAACTTGAAAAGTTCAGTTAAGGCAACTGGATGCAAAGTTTTATAGAAGACGCTTCGCCCCTCATCCAAGAAGCCTACCTCTAAAGGCTCAAATGGTGGGCCAGTGAAGCCTACCAACACAACACCAGATCCCATGGGACAGCCTAAAACCTGGAAACCCACAAAAGCCTTTTGACCCCTTTCATAAAATCCCTTACCAAAGGACATTGGCAAGCAGTTTTACCTTCAAAGCCCATGTGGCCAGTTGAGATAAGACCCTTGTATATCTTAATTGTGCAGAAAGGCCATTGTCTATCAAGCAGTCTTCTGCCAGAGCACCAATTCTCAAAAACCTTTTGCTTATAGTCAGAGGATGGTATTTATCGCCCTGCTGCCTCTACATTTTACCACTCAGAAGCAAGGTCTATAGTTTAGGTAATCTGCCTGTAAGTGAAACACTGTCCTCCCTGCCAAAGATGTCCTTCTATAGCAGGACCTGCCATGTCTGTCCACTCAGGAGCTGATATACAGTGTATCTGCCAACCAGTGCATTGCTGACCAGTGTGGAAAATCCCTCATAGGCAAATGGCTGAGATGAACGTCAAGAATGGTGGAAGCCAATAAATTTGTTATTTCATTAAAAAAAAGTCAGTGAGCTCTATGTGAGATCAAGCTACTATTGAAATAACATCTGGAACAAAAATGGATGGAAAGTTCATAATAAAGTTAAGTAACTTGCTCCTCTAACAGTCAGACTTTTGTATTATCTAAACTCTAGAGGATTAGGATTTTGGTCTGTCTGAATTTGTCAAACTAGAGTTTTGTCATCAAAATCTTTATGTTAATGCGTTGTATGAGAGAGTGCCATAAAGGGATGGCAGACGTGGTCTAACTGGAGATGTAGGGTACACATGTGCGTGTGTATTGAAAGAAGATTTAGCATAATGTCTTGTGTTGTTTGATGGTGAACTCATATTAAGCATTTAATATTATATGTTGCACCTCTTTCCTCCATCAACCGTTTTCATCTACTCTTTTTAGATCAAATGATCCAAATTTATCTTTAATAGTACAACCACATCATTTATACCTCTTTTGATTCATTTCACTGCTTAGCTTGTGCTGATCATTTAATTCTGCTTGGCAGATCTCCAAACTGTTAAAGTCTCTCATCTTTGATGCCATTTCTGTGAATAAACAGGCATGAGAAGCCGTAGCATTCTATGCCATTATTGGGGCAGTAATTTTGCAGATTTACAATTTCTTGGGTACACGCTCACTAACATCATTTACGATCCTGTACTGAAGTTAAGAAAGTTTGTTAAATCTTATGTGGGGCATTTGTAAGAGACAAAAAGTAAGTGAAATTTACAACAAGAATACAAAACTGTAATGAGGCCCAAATGTCATTGCTAGGTGGCGACTCACTCAACAGCAAGTAGGGGAACCTGCTAGAGAGGTTGGCTCGGCATGCTAGCCATTTATGAAGGCTGTTTGTAATGAAGTGGGACCTAATTCTCCAGGATCCCAGCGCTTCAAACTATTCTACTATGGATCTCTGCTAGAAGTCTCATTCCTGCTGCTGCAGAGTTGAGTCTCAGAATCTCTGCCTCCTCTGGTGTGAGGGGAAGCAGAGCTTTTTTCATTAGCCAAAAATCTAACCCAGCTAACACGCGTGAGGTCCAAAGTGGAAAGTATTAGCCCGTGTGCTAATACAGAAAAAATAGCACAACAGACCAGAGCCACAAAATACCTTCAATCCTTGGACAGTTTACCTGGTCTACTAGTACAGAACAGAGATATGCCTCAAAGTGAGAAGAGGTTTTCAAATAATGTGGTGTAAAGGATGGGTGATGCTAGTGTAGTAACTACCATCCATGCCTGTCCCTGTTTTGCTGTGTCTTGTCTTTTCTGAGCCCTCTTTTCATATCACCCACATTCAAACAATGGAACTGGTCATCTGGTCTGTCAATGCAATTGATCAAATTTTCTCAACTGGAAGACAGGGAAAAGTAGACCCTTCCTGTCCTGCTGGGACATACTTAGTGTGATACACCATGGACTCATGGAAGGCTTGGAGGTTGGTGTGTTTCACAACGTGGTCAGTGGAGGATGTCAAAGATGCATGGATTTTCGGATTTATGATACTCGGATTTCTCCTGTTTGGATTTGGAGAATACCCGATGCATCTACAATTACAGAGGATGTCGGCGGCAATTTGGACATTGATCAGGCTGCCGGCAGCAGTTGACATGCTCACAAAGGCTGTGAATGAGCAGGACCACGAGATGAGCCATATGCTGAGTCCGATTTAACATAGGCTGGCTGCGATGGTTTAACTCAGAGGTGAGATGGGATAATATCTTGGATGTTCACACTCGTTTCAAGGTGGAAAAGCCAAACAAATTCAGAATATTGGATTTGCCATGTGGAGCCAGCAAAAAAAGACTCAAAGGCTGGCTCCAAATTATCAAACCTCCCTTGGATGTTATGGCGGAAGGGCCCAGAACTGCTGGCTCCCCCATCTACCCTTCCATCTTATCAAGGTCAATGGCCTGAGGACCGCGTTCATGGATAAATAGAATGCATTCATCATGCATACACAAAATTACGCTCAAGATGTCAGATTCACTTTTATGTGGCTCCAGCCTCCAGTGTTTTTCTTTTGCTGAAATGTTTGTCTCATGTTATATGGGCTTTTTTTGTACAGAGGTGTTTTTTGTGATGTAAGTGATTAACAGTTTGTACTCAAACTGAAATCTTGATTA